CAACGTTACCCCCTCATTTGTTTTAATTGGTGATGTCAGGTAGACAGCAAGCACTGAAGAGAGAAAGAAGAGGTGCTAACAGCTTTTGTGAGGGGGACGATCACACTACCGCTTCTTCTGGACCCGCCACTGCACCCGCTTTTCGTTCATGCCGTGGGAGCATTCAAGGAAAAAAAAAACATGTCGCCGCTTCTTCCTAGAAATAAATCCTAAACACTACACTTCTAGGAACACATTTACATGCATGTATATCTGCGCATGAATTGCGAAATGAATCGGTGTATACTAGTGTATATTATCGAGTCAGTGTATATATAATACGAGCAGATATTTACAGCATGTAGCAATGAAGCGGCATGCGAGTTATCACGTGCCAATACATGCAGTGAAAACGTGCTATCGAAAGCAATGTGAGCTGGATCACCGAATTTTCTATTCGCAGTTGGTGCTTCGCAAAGAAACACAGCTCTAACTTTGCTTTTTAACCCTATAGTGCAGTAGAACTTGAGGAAACGCCCTTGCTATCATCCAACAGAGAACTATTTAAAAATCAAGCCATTGACGCCACGTACTAGTAGTCGACATGGTGAACACCGTGGACACAATGTGCGAGATAGAGCATTCCTTCATTAAACTACGATGAGGCAAGGATTCATGCCTGCCGAATTATGAAGTGTGCTAGTAATGAATGTAGCCGCTCGTAAAACTTACACCGATTATGAAAAGGCAGGCAGGCACAGCCATACACGTGCACAACCAGACGGGAGAAGTGCAGAAGTGTCCACTCTCGATTTATTGCTCCATACTTGCACTTTCCCGCGAGACACTGGGCTGAGTGACATTCAATGACTGACACCTTTAATTTAAGAGATGCCCAGGTGGAACAAACGCCGGCCTTTTAGGCCAGGCTAACCCCGCTTCTGCAACATCACAACCACCACCACCACTATCTAAGGGGCTCAGTGCGACGTAGTTGGAAAAAGAGAGCGGAGCAGCAGTGAAGTTTTGGTTCTACCAATGGAGATGCGTGCCTTAGGGCACAAGTATTCGAGTCATTCCTTTGTCGGTGTGGCTTGCGCTGAGCCACTCATCTGTCTCGGTGGCCCCACAAGGCTGTCACACACAAGTACACTGATCATTCGCTGTGTTTGGGTTGGTGTCACTGTGGATCAAGTAATGATCAGTGTCACTGAAGGCTACCATCAGGCTACTGACCGGCGTTGGCGTTTGTGCACAAAAAAAAAAACGAATGAACGAACAAAAATGAGACTCCAGTGTGGCAGCACGTAATACAACAAGTAAATGCTTAAAGCCCTTTAAAAATGTAGTGGTTTATCACCATCGTTGGTTCAAGAAGGACGGCGTTCGGCTCTTAAGCCATTTGAACATATTGCTGCTGCATGGTTATGAACAAAAACTGTCTTATGAATAGGCTACCAGAGCATCGTTTATGGTATAGTTATGTTCGCAGACAATATACTAATGATGTTTTAGCAGGACTCATCAGCAGAACCTGTTTCTAACTTTTTCGTGGATTTACTCTCATTGCAGGTGCTGTGAGCTTCAAGACTTGTTTTCGCTGAATCAGCCTGGCAATTCTAAAACTTTTTTAAAAAACGGCGTCTTCAAGTATGTCACTAAAGTTAAATGAAACTGTCGCATACAAGATAAGTAATTTGCTGGCAAAAGCATTGTTCTGTAGTCTTCTAACCAACTGATCAGTAGGATGCGCTGTGGCCAATGTGGCTTAAAAATATTGTGGCCATAGTGAACAATTTTGAACAGACATGCTTCGAACAGAGCGCTTAGAGTTTGTGAGGCAAGTTTTCACATTTCAATGTGCACATGTGGTAATTTATGAGATGTCATGAGATGCCCGTCGAAATATACAAAAATTATGTTGAAAATGGCTGACCAGAGTTTCTAAATATACCGTGGTACCAAGAATAAGTTTTACTTGTTTTTTTGGAAGTGAAAGTTTTAGCTATTTGGAAGGAAAAAAAAGTCATGTGATTGTAACTATACCATGCCGTACTTCAAAGGCCTGACGTTTCTTTCACATGTTCGGAATTCTTAAGAGCATGTGTGATCAATGCAATGTGGAATATAAATACGATTAGTTTTTTGCCCAGCATGCAGTGTTTTTGCTGCCTAATAATGTTTACTCCAAGAAATTCTGTTCATTGTTGCTGTTGTATTTTGAGTTATAACTTTGCAGTCTGTGCGCATGTCTTTTTCATAGCAATTTTAAAAGTACTCCCACAGCCATTCAACCATATATAATTTAAAATGGTTGATAAAATTTCGAAAACTGGTCACCATTGGTGACAGCCTCCCCTGACAAATGGCGTGCCCTATGATGGCGCTAATTTCGGACCTCCTTACAGATGTTGATGTTCAGATATGATCGCTCGCACTGTAGTTCATGTTGCCAATAGCACTATTCTGTATGTCTTTGTGTAAGCTATTCTCTGTTCTTTGTGTAGTTTCTAGTCAGAAGGTTTCTGACTTCAGCCTTTTCATTTGCGGCTGTTCCTACATTGTTATCTTTACCATACAGCGTGTGTCTAAGTTCCAGTCTGCTTATTAGATATCGCTGCTCACTTTTGACACAGAGTGAGTCTTGGGCTGCCAGGTTGAAGGCAGAACATTGTCTGCCTGACTGGGGCCATGTCAGCCATGCATTACGATACCAGTAGGGCAACACAGAACACAACAGTACACATAATGTTTCTGCAAAAGAGTTACGCCATATCCTTGTTACTTGTTGTGGAAAAATAACAACGGAATTTTAAAGCCATACCAATTTATTGCACGCTAATACAGTTCGTAGTAAGAAAATAATTTGCAAGCAGATTGTAGCACCAACAACGCGCCACATTGTCAGGTTCTGAACCAGAAAAGATAATAATAGTTGCAAGCAAAAAATCTCATTTGTTATCGTTTCTTCATTTGTTACTTCTGTGGTTTGGCTGTGCTCATTGACTTTTTGCATTGCTGTTACTTGTTGCTTCTACAATGCTTTACAAATTAACGCAATTTATTTTGTTGCATTATATGTACTTTTCTGATATATATATATATATATATATATATATATATATATTTAAGAAATCCTGACGAAACGTAGAGTTAACAACTATTAAATTTTCGTGAGTATATATATATATATATATATATATATATATATATATATATATATATATATATATATATATATATATATATAATATATATATATATATATATATATATATATATATATATAATGTAACGAAGAGCGGCACGGCAGCTGTGGGCCATGGGCTGAAAAGCGAGGAAGAAGAGGCAGAATAGAACAGCTTGCCCGATGAACGGGTGTTGTGTCTGTCTCGCTTACTATAATGGCGCAGCCGTTCAACGAACCTGCGAGCGACGATATGCGTGAAGAAACCCTCCTATGGAGCGGACGCACTCTCCAGCAGCCCACGGCTCCTGCTACCGTGGTCATAGCATCCGACCTGGCCACTGTGGGTACCGAAGCCAGCGCGCTGCCTGCAGGCGTCCTTGCCAAACCACAAGGCGACTCCACTGACTTGGCTTCGCAAACCGCCTCCTTGCCCAGGGACGCTGTACACGCTCCCTTGGACTTCGCCTCAGGTACCATCCCTGGAGCAACGTCAGTACCGTCGCCAGAAGACAGGCGTAATTCCTCGCCTGTAGCCACCAGCGAACTCTGCACGGTTCTGCAGGCCATCGCTACTTCGAGCCAGCGTCTTGCAGACGCCACCGCCACCATCATATATATATGCGCAAATTTTTTCTTTTTAAACATTTCATTTTACGGTTTAGAAAGACAGCCCTCTTCACTTAATGGTAAGGTAGGGTTTACTGAAAGTGCGAATCGCATGTTGTCGGTGATTTCTGGATAAACATCAGGCAGGCTAAGCCGTGTAAGTTTTTAAAATTCAGTTTCGCGCCCAGTAATTTGCACATACATCAATAGTCTGTAGCACAACTTCCAAATGAAGAGGTGAAGAGAAGGTCACAATGATCAGCCCTTCTCCCCCACTATTTACTTTCTTGAGAAGTTGTAAGATCGTCCGGCTGTATCCCAACGGCACTGCCCGATTTGTAAGTGCAGTGAAGTCATTGGCAATACTTGGACCATTCGATGCAGGATTGCACTTGCGCTCCGTGTGATTTAAATGTACACGCATCTCCACAAAGCGAATCATGACGAGTGGCGACGCAGTGGCGATCATTTGGTGTTACAACAAATCACCTGTGACGTTACACACTCGGACATGAAAATGAGTCTCCAGAATGTCTTGGAATAGGTATCACCTATTTTCTTTAGACTTAAAAAATGTCTTCATTATCATCCCATAGACAAAGCTTCTAGCATTGAACTGACACTCGCTGCACTTTCAATTCCAGGGTATCTTGGTGGTGTTGCCATTTTCCTGCCGGCATGGCTCAGTGGCCTTTTATTTTGTTTGGTTAAAATCTCTTTGTTTCATCTTTTAAATCTTTTTCTTTTGTCATGTGCTTTGATCGATGGTAGGTAGAAAGTTGCTGCAAGAAGGTATTGTTGGCTTTTTCATTTTAGTTCGGGTTACGAAACTTTTGTTGACCATTTCTTTGTAACAGTGGATTTAATTTTTGTACACGCACCTATGCTACTTCAGGTGTAGACGCCAAACTGCGACCCATGAACAAGGACATAGTGAGGCCTTAAGGTGCCTCACCCCTAAATGCTTGGCAAGTTAAGTGTCGTATTTATGAAAGTATTAAAAGAGAGTGCGAAACGACTCGATATAAATATCTCATGGCCTGGGTTCTAGAAAGTGTCTTGTCGCTTACACGTTCCATTGTCTGAGGCTTTTATTTCCAAAACCACAACAAAGTATCATTCGCGGCTATGTAATAAGTTAATAATAACAATAATGCTGCTTTTCTCGCCTGAGCTAGGACATGAAGAACTGTGCTGTAAATTTTTGGAAAAAAAGAACGTCTAATGTTTTTGGTTTCCAGACTTTATTCGCGTTTGTAGCAGTACTATTACTGTTTTTTCAGTTCAATACGCGAATGCTTCCTCAACAGGCCACTCCAAAAAAAATTCACCGAAGTGACTATGCTTACATTTGCTGAACCTATACAAGGTATTCGTGCAAATGTCATAAGCATCCTTTTTGTCATCCCTTTACATCAGTTTCAGAATCGCAGATGTCCTCATACATTACACGTGTTCGCTTAGCCAGAGCCAAATATTTGAATAGAAATTCGCAACAAGGTGGAATATTTTTGTAGTCTCTCACCCATAGCTCGTAATCTGAAATGTAATGGAGGAGTAAATTATTTTTAAACAGAGTTTGTTTTTATGGCTTTCAGTATTGTTAAGCCTGTAAGCGTAATGCATCTATAAAAGGTCAAACAAAAATATTTGTACAAATAACCGTCATAATAATATGTACCCCCCCATACATATATATATATATATATATATATATATATATATTAGAAACAAGTGCACATTTAAGGCGCCCGTTTTTCTGTGTTTTACACGATAATAATGAGATCTAACAGACAATAATGCCAAGGAAGCTATAAGGAAATATATTACACCGAATCGTAATGTAAATATAAAAAAGAAAAGTGGCTGAAAAGATAACTTACCGTGAGCAGAAACCGAATTCGATGCTCAACCACTGAGCTATCACGGCAGCTATCCGCCCAGCCTCAATTATTGAAGTTATATGTATATTTAAACGTGGAAGTGTTAGCCAGCGCTGCCAGTAGCCATGGCGGCGAGTTTGGCACAATGTTTTGAGCCTGTTTGATTTGACGTAGCACGTGAACCTATTACGAGCGGGCAGCTGACCAATAGTCTCTCGTATACAACCTGAAGGCACCAAGTCTGCTAGTACGAGATCCTTGTTAAAAATTAAGAAAACAAGTGTACACTTAAGGGCTCGTTTTTCTGTTTTACTCAATATTGTCACGTTACAACGTAACTGTAACCTGCTGATAAGGGCACACAAGGACGTCAAGCTGATTCGAACAACGGCAGTACGACTATTGTTTTTCTCTGCACGCGCATCTTTGTCCTCTTCTGAACAGCGGCACATACAAGCATGCTAGCATCTGTGGAAATAATAGTTTCAGAACTTGTACTAGTGGCATTACCCCCCTTCCCAAAGGACATCGTCCCGATGTCATAACATTATTGCCAGATGAAAACACACACGATAAGCAGTACACAAGGGGGTGTTCACAATCACTGTAAGTCTACTCAAGGGAGTGTGACGAATAGTCAGCGTTGGTAAATGGTTTCATCCTCGAAACATGGACGACGTGTGGCTGTTGTAAACGGCGGGATTGACGAGCCATGTCCTCGTCAAGAACCTCGTAGTTCACTTCGCTGAGACGACGGAGAACTCTATAGGGACCAAAATAGCGGCGTAACAACTTTTCCGACCGGCCCCGTTGTCGATTGGGAGTCCAAGCCATACTCGTTCTCCGGGTTGGTAAGAGACATCGCGACGACGAGCGTTGTACCGCAGCGAGTCGATGCATTGTTGCTTATGGATTCGTTCGACTGCAAGCTTACGAGCCGCGTCTGCCAGTCTGATAAATTCGTTCGTCTTGACACTAATCTGGTGTCTGTCTGGTAGAAGCATGGCATCCAGCATTGTAGTGACCTCCCTGCCATGAAGCAACCGGAATGGTGTGAATCCAGTTGTTTCTTGCACAGCGGTGTTGTAAGCGAACGTGACATAAGGGAGGATGTCATCCCAGTTTTGTGGTCTTGGTCAACGTACATGGATAGCATGTCGGCGATCGTCTTGTTTAGTCGCTCTGTAAGGCCGTTGCTTTGTGGGTGGTATGCAGTAGTTTTTCGATGTACTGTGCCGCTAAGCTGCATGACGTCTTGTATCATCCGGGCGGTAAAAGCTGTGCCACGATCAGTTATGACAACTGCTGGTGCTCCATGTCGGAGGACGATGTTTTTCATAAAAAAGTGGGCAGTCTCAATGACGGTGCCACGTTGTAATGCCTTCGTTTCGCAGTAGCGCGTCATGTAATCAGTAGCGACTACAATCCAGCGGTTGCCGTCACGAGACTTGGGAAAAGGTCCGAGTAGATCCATGCCTATTTTTTGGAACGGTTGTGTCGGAGGAGCGATGGGCTTCAAAAAGCCGGCTGGGCGCTGATGTGGTGCTTTACGGCGCTGGCACTCGTGACACGTCTTCACGTAATGCTTCACGTCTCGACTGAGTTTAGGCCAGTAGTAGTGTTGGCGAATCCGGGCCAAGGTACGTGTGTATCCCAAGTGGCCTGAGGAAGGCTCATCGTGACAGGCGGACAAGACATCGGCTCGTAACACTGGCGGGACAACGAGCAGGTACTCAGTCGCGTAAGGGTCGAAGTTTCTTTTATAGAGGATATTTCTGCGGACGCAGAACGATGATGACGAGCGGGCGAATGCTGGTGGTGGATGCGGCGTACGGCCTTCGAGATATTCGATGAATTGTCGAAGCTCGGAATCGTTCTTCTGCTGTTCGGCCAAGTCGGATACACTAACGGCGCAGAGAAAACGGCCGTCGAGATCGTGATCACCTGACACTGTCTTAAGAGGAGCTCGGGAAAGGCAGTCCGCGTCAGTATGCTTCCGGCCAGACTTGTACACGACTGTCAAATCGAACTCCTGAAGGCGTAAGCTCCACCTGGCCAGACGTCCGGAAGGGTCTTTAAGGTTCGCCAACCAGCAGAGCGCATGATGATCGGTAACAACTCTGAACGGGCGACCATACAGGTACGGTCTGAATTTAGCTATTGCCCAGACAACAGCTAGGCACTCCTTTTCAGTTGTTGTGTAATTCACCTCCGCAGATGATAAAATGCGACTCGCATAAGCAATAGGGCGTTCGACACCGCCTTGCCACTGGACAAGGACTGCACCAAGGCCGATGTTACTGGCGTCTGTGTGTAGTTCAGTGTCGGCATATTCGTCGTAGTGTCCGAGTAAGGGCTCAGATTGGAGACGCTGCTGGAGCTCGGAGAAAGCGCGTGTTTGCTCAAGGCCCCACACGAAGGGAACGTCGTCTCTTTTCAGACGAGTGAGGGGTTCGGCAATGTTTGCGAAATTTTGCACAAAGCGTCTGTAGTATGCGCAGAGGCCTACAAATCGACGCACATCACGTTTGTTGGTAGGTGGTGGAAAATCTGCGACAGCCAGTGTTTTGTCTGGGTCCGGCCGAATACCATCAGGGTTAACAAGGTGACCGAGGAACTTTAATTCGTTGTAACCAAAATGACATTTTTCGTGTTTCAGTGATAGGCCTGCCGTGCGAATTGCAGCAAACACAGATCTAAGTCGCTGCAAATGCTGCTCAAACGTTTGGGAGAAGACAACGACGTCGTCTAAGTAAACAAGGCATGCTTCCCGTTTGAGGCCGGAGAGCACTGTATCCATCATCCTCTGGAATGTCGCAGGGGCAGAACACAGACCGAAGGGCAGCACCTTGAATTCGTACAGACCATCAGGCGTTATGAATGCTGTTTTCTCTCGGTCGCGTTCATCAACTTCGATCTGCCAGTAGCCACTGCGTAAATCCATAGAGGAGAAGTATCGGGCGTGTCGGAGGCGGTCTAGTGAGTCGTCGATGCGCGGAAGCGGATAAACGTCTTTCTTTGTGACTTTGTTGAGTTTGCGGTAATCGACGCAAAATCGGAGAGTGCCGTCCTTCTTTTTTACCAGTACGACGGGGGACGACCATGGACTGTTCGAGGGTTGGATTACGCCATCTTCGAGCATCTGCTTCACTTGAGAACGTATAGCCTCTTGTTCCTTTTGTGATACTCGGTAGGCGTGTTGACGTATGGGTCGCTCAGAATGGTGAGTGACAATGCGGTGCTTTACGGTTGGCGTTTGTTTTATCTTGGATGTAGACGCGAAACAGTCGCTAAACATGCGGAGGATACAGCGGATTTGCTCTTTCTGTGCACATGATAGCTTCGGATTGACATCGACTGCATCGGTTACCGCGGTGTCACTTTCAACGGCTGCAGAAATTGGGGCTATCGTCGTACACGCTTCATTGTCAATGGATTCGAAATGAGCGATAGTTGTTCGCTTGGCCAAATGTTGGTATGATCCACTAAAATTGGTGACCAACAACTCAGTCATCCCACGTTTATATTGAATTATGCCGCGGGCAACACAGATTTGCTGAGACAAGAGCACCGAAAGGTTGGCTTCAGCGATACCACTACTGTCATGGTCTATGTCGCCCTGTACTGTAACGAACGTACTGGTGCGTGGCGGAAGTGTGACTGTGTCGTCGACAATGCGAAGCGCAGTCTTCTGCGGATTGGTATCTCTAAGCTTCGGGCCATAGTCGTTAGCAAACGTTACGAGGCAGTCTCGAAGATTTATAACAGCGCCGTGCTCACGAAGGAAATGCATGCCAAGGATTACTTTCCGGGAGCATTCGGGAAGCACAACGAAAGAAGCAACGAACGTCGAATCACAGATTTGCAGCCTTGCGGTGCATCTCCCGATTGGTGTCAAGAGATGACCACCGGCTGTCCGAAGGTTTGGTCCATGCCCCCAAGGAGTCGTGACTTTCCTGAGTTCAGCCACAAGTTCAGCGCTGATAACTGAGTAGTCGGCGCCGGTGTCGACTAGAGCAGTCACTGGATGGTTGTCGACACGAACGGCAATGTCAGCAGAAACGGGTTCGTCAGCGATGTGAGGTGTCGGCTGAAAGGAATCGTCGAAGGTCGGTGGAAGGGTCGGAGGAGGCTGTTTTGACGATAGCTTAACAGCGGTCCCACCCCCGGAGGCCGCTGATTCTAGTTTCCCCGGCGTGGACTTGGGGACCTAGCGGATCGTCCCGCAACAACATCGGCGAAAGTGGAGTATTGATTCGCGGACGTAGAGCGTCGAGAAGACGGAGAGCGTGATTGGCGTCGCTGAAGATTCGGAGACGGTAGACTTGCCAAGTATTCTGCGATGGCGCGGGGTCGTTCGCCGTCCCTGGGCCGACGAGCGTCTGGCCAAAATTCAGGTAGGCCCATCTGTCTGTACGAGCACTCCCGGTACAGGTGACCTGGCTCACCACAGTGGTAGCATAGTGGCCGATTGTCGGAAGCGCGCCACACGCTAGATTTACGCAAATTGGGTCGCGGATTCTCATAGTGTGGTGGGCCCGAGAAGTACTGCGGCGTCTACAGGCAAGTCAGTCGTTGGTTTTCATAGCGTGGCCCGCCCGAGAAGTGCTGTGGCGTCTGCAGGCTAGTCGGTCGGGGAAAATAGCTGGCTGCCGGTGCAGGAGTACGTACAGCTTCCGCATACGTTAGCAGAGGAGCTTCGGTTGGAGGTGGCGCTAATGGTCGTACTAGCTGCCGCACCTCTTCACGGACGACGTCTGTCAGAGCAGCCACTTGAGGCTGTGAAGGCACTGCGTGAAGCTTTTGCAGCTCGTCGCGTACAATGCTACGGACTAGCTCAGCAAGGTCTCTCACGCTCTTGACATCGGGTGTTACCAAGGGTGTTGACAGACATGCAAGGTTGTCGGACCGCTTATACTGCGAAGATCGCTGTCTCAGCATTCGCTCCATTGTCGTCGCTTCACAGAGGAATTCTGCCACGGTAGCTGGTGGGTTTCGTACAAGTCCTGCAAACAGCTGCTCCTTGACACCCCGCATCAGAAGCGCACCTTTTTGTCTTCCGTCATTGCAGAATCCGCTCGACGAAACAGACGAGACATCTCCTCAACAAACATGGCCACGCTTTCATTGGGTCGTTGATTGCGAGAATTGAGGAGACGTTCGGCTTGTTCTTTCCGGTCAGCGGTACCATACGTGTTCCGCAGCTGAGTGCAAAACACCGGCCAGGTTGTCAGGGCGGCCTCTTGATTCTCGCACCAAATACGCGCCGAATCCTCCAGGTAGAAATAGACATACCGCAGTTTCCGGTGCTCGTCCCACTCGTTGGCGACGGCGACTCGATCGTATTGGTCCAGCCAGTCTTCAACGTCTTCGTAGGGCTCCCCATGGAAGGGCTTTGGCGTTCGGGAGGCTGGTAGCCATGGTGCTGGCGGAGTCGCGGACGGTTCAGTCTGGCTAGCAGTTGTCGCATATGCCATGGTTCTGGAACGTTCCGGAAGAGGGCTGAACTGGGGTGGTAGGCCTAGTTGCCGCCGACTGCGTCGAAGGTTGGCTGTTTCTACTAAGGCGTCAATGTTGGGACCGAGATCTTCCTCGTGGTAACAGTGCATAGACTATTACCCAGCACCTCCACCAGTGTCACGTTACAACGTAACTGTAACCTGCTGATAAGGGCACACAAGGACGTCAAACTGATTCGAACAACGGCAGTACGACTATTGTTTTTCTCTGCACGCGCATCTTTGTCCTCTTCTGAACAGCGGCACATACAAGCATGCTAGCATCTGTGGAAATAATAGTTTCAGAACTTGTACTAGTGGCAATATTATAGAGAAATAATAGACAATATTTCCAAGCAAAGCATAGGGGCAATATATCAGGCGGCATCGTAATGTAAATATGAAGAAAGAAAACTGGGTGAATAGATAACTTGCCGAAAGCAGGAACCAAACCTGCGACCTTCGAATAATGTGTTCGATGCTATACCACTGAGATACCACGGAAGCTATCTCCCCAGCCACTTTATTGAGTTTATATGTGAATTTAAACGTGGGAGTGTGAATTTAGCTTGTTTTCAGCCGGGCCACGTTTCTTATGACGCCAAATGATTAGGAGCTGGCAGCTAAGCTATCCGCATAATCCCTTTCAAACTACTTGTAGGCACCAAGTCGATGGGAACGACACTTACGCTACAAATAAACGATAGAATGAGAATTTCATTGAAAGGCTCGTATTTGCGCACCCCATTGTAAGCAGAACTGACACGTAAAAGTATTCCGAGAAAAGTTACGCAGTGTTATTTGTAGTAACTGCGCTACAAGTGTGAAGAATGAAATATGCAGTGCAAGATAACTTCCCCTCAGCAGTGACAAAATCTGCAACCTTTGCTTTGCGCGTACAATGCTGATTCAGTTGAAACAAAATGACATCAGTTATTAAGTCACATCTCTTCGCGTCGAAACCGCTTGAAGTTAAAATATTTCGTACATTATGCCATCTTAGTGAAGCCATATGGTGCTTTTCGCCAAAACTATCTTGCTCTAGAAGTGTGCGAAACCATTGAACACATTCGTGTACTGTTTTTATCTAGGTGTCTTAAGCAACAGCGGCTTTATTCATACAACGCTCTACGATACAACTGAATAATTTAGTAGCGAACTTGTCTTGAATAGACCGGGTATACTTTCTAGTTAAAATAACGTACAATATATCACTCTTGATAATATATCACTATTGATTACTGTGTCTACAAAGACGAGCATTTATATTTGCACTCGTTTCCTTTAGGATAATAATTTTCTTGCTATATGGCAGTTACTAGCATCAAATGCACAGTAAACAAAATATCCAACAATATCGCTGTAGCAGATTTACAGTGATACACTGCACTAAGTACTACATTGTGCATCAGTATTCGCCTGAATATTCTAAATGGTATCGCTCGGCAATATACAAACACATTTCGGAGAGACATAAAAAAGTTTTGTGCGTCACTTTACAAAAACTGGTAAATAATGCATGTTTTAAAAAAAACCTGAATCATCATGATGCATTAAATCCCCGAAACACCTAAATCACAATGTTGTGCATATGAGCATGCTTCCAGGATTTCAAGAATATTTTTCGTCTATTGTACTCTACCACCTACCTCCTGAGAAGACGTGCGTAGGACCGTAGTAGATTGAGCAAGTCCGGTAATTAGAGAACGTGAGGGCATATTTGGATTGCATACTCCCATCTGTGTAGATAAAGGTGAAAAAAAATTGTCCATTAAAGAGAAATTTATAGCGTTCTCAATAACCCAACATTGTTAGCATTAATAAATTAAGACCGATCGCTAAGGTTGCCCTAAGAAGATGGCCCTTAGTCAGGTAAGACGTCTAGCACGCATCTACATTAAGTTTTATTGAGGCGAGGCACTACACACCTCAAAGGGCACGAACTCAACGTTCACATCTGCACGTGTGGCTTGCTCACGTTAGCGTGTTAACGCGTGGCCTACTACTCACGCTATGTTAACGTTAACGTGTGGCCTGCTCAAAACCCGCAACAAAGTCACAACTAAAGCTGAAAGTGAGCCATCTAAGAGACGGGTCAAAACATTATTTAGGCGGCAATTCAAGGCAACCACTGCGCAATAAATTGTCAGAATTTTTTGTTGTAGCAGAGGCATTCAATACTTTTAGTGTTCACGAAGGTTCGGCGAAAGTTTGATATAGGGACCGGAGCAACCGCTAAGGGCGCTCACGTCTACGCCAGGACACCGGAGTGGCCCCGACACCGCCGTGGTACGGCCCACGTTGGAACTGCAAAACGAGAAGAAATGTACCCGTGATGATTTATTACATCTTCAGAAGGATGTTACTTTCAAGGAGATTCGGGGAGGCTCTAAGCAATGAAGTTTATTAGCATCGCATGGGGCCTTGAAGCTAAAAATTTGATTCACACAAACGCGCGCTGCTCCTGCTGTGAGATATGCTACAGCAGTGATTCTCAGCCATGGATGTGTCGGGGAGCCCTTGTGGACTGGTGGAAGTGATGGGGGACCTCTTGCAGTAGAGGGGACGGAACAGGAGGGGGTACGTAGGTAAATTAACACACCTGGAGCGTGAAACCGGTGTCTTTTATCGCTACCAAAACCATCAAAAAAACGTACCACATCACTTTATCTTGAACAGTTAATCAATGCGTGGCAAAATCACGCCTAAAAATGCGGGTGTGGGCTTCGCGGGCCATATAAGTGGCTTCCCGGACCCCCTAGGGTCCACGGACCCCCATTTGAGAACCACTGTGCTACATCTTTATAAGCAGGCTTATTTTGTTCTAATTGCATCTAGTGAAAATTGCTCGATAATCCAGAGTTCTTCAAGGACGCTGGCGGAACTTAATGCGTCGCGGAAGTGGGGTGCTTGCAAGACTTGACCGTTCATACCCGCTCAGTGAAAGCATGACGCACTAGGTCTGCAACAAACGTTTTTGTGTGTGGAGCAGTTCAATGTTAATAATAAGAGGAACTTGGCTTTTTCATATAAAGTTAGGGAGTACGCCGTAATGTAGTGAAAATTCACTTCGCGTAGTCTCATTAGTAGCAGCTGATTGGTGCATTAGTATACTTCGAATTCAATAGAATGCACCTCGTAATACAGCCACACTGCATGCCTTTTGTCTTATATGGCATTTCAGAATATTTAATAGAGCTAGAGCTTTTTTATGCTTGCTTGAATTCTCTTACTCCGCACGGACACGTCCAAAGAACTCATCATGTCAGTCTGAACGATGGTGTACTCACACTCTGGGTTATTCACAGCTGGGGTATGCCTAATTCTGCTGTGCATATTGGGCCTAACCCCACTTCTCAAAATTAGTATGACAGTGGCAGGCTTTCTGCCTTTCTATTCACTATGAAGATGTATGACTATTCAAGCAATTTATACTTATTGTCAAGCTTTTACGTGTCAAGAGGTACTGAATTTCGATATAACACAAGCATTGCGCAAGAGGTGCCCATTACCTTGCGGCTTGTACTTGAAACCATTCTTCGTTTTCTTGTAGCCATACACTTTAGTGACAGTGACTTTGGCATAAGACGTATGCCTGCAAAATAATGGTGTAAAGAAAGAACATAATTCAAAGAATGACTGGAACGAAGTTAAAATGTGTTGAAATATTGAGAGGCCAAACGTACACCACACGTATGACGTATATTCTCTTTCTATGGCTAAAACTTAACTTTGCACTTGTCACGGGGCATAATTTATACAGAGGATGATTTCCATTTACGTTGTGGACGTGTGCAACAACATGTAAAAGTGGATTACAATAGAGTATGGCTTTCATAAAGTACTAGAATTTTAACGATATAATATGCATGTAAAACATTGCTAACTTGTCAGTTATGCATGTGTTTGCGAATTGGCAAGCTGTTAAGGGATACTGGTTATGTGTGTTTTTACTAACGAATATACGCTCACTCATTCAAATAAATACTTTGATGGCTTTTTCTCACAGATCTTGTAAAATAGATCATAATATATTTTGTATCTCCACCTTATATAAAATATCTCGTATGAATGTTTTGTAATTGCGCCACTGCTCTACATAGAAAAACCTGGTGACTACCCTAATAGAGTACTCAGGTGCCTTGTTATGACATACGCCTGATCCGCTTCCATGTGCTCTTTTGTACTTCATAGTTTCTCGGTAGGTATTATTGGCGTCACGTGCTTCGACCTCAGTGAGCTTACCACCTCCCTAATGGTTTATTATATTAGAAGCACCTAGAAAGGCGGCTGTTTACGTGAGCAGGTAAACCAGCGCTGTCAGAGATCTAGGAGCACACGAGGGCAATTGAAATTGTGAACAACACTTTCGTTCGAAGAGACCTTGCTGGTGTCACACGTTCGACGCCAGTTGAGTTCGTTTGCTGGCGCATGGTGCCATCTCATGTGGTGGCATAGTTTCCCTCATGCAAAGTCCAGCGAAGCAGCATAAGCATGAATCTCAATGGGGCTGGAAAGAAATTAAGGTTCAGGATGAAAGAGGTGGTGTTGAGAAGCAGGGCAAGAATGAAACGACATTTTAAGACATAACAATTACATGTGTAGTATTGTATCAACAGTATCGGTATGTAGTGTCATATCACCTCATCTAACGAAACGTCAAAACTGAAAGCATGTTTTCAGGTCTTTTTCTAGGGTAATGAAAGTATCTATTTAGCTTTTCATATAAAAAGAACTTGCGTAAAGTTCAAGGGAATGTCATAGTTTTTCTGTAGATCAAAAGAACATTTATTTAAATAACTTGTCAACTGAGGGAAAGAAAGTGTAGAAAATTAGCGGGCTATTTTTCAAAGCTCTTCTTGCTAACCGATGCTATTAGGACACATTGGTGGACGAAAGCGCATGTGATTAAGGTCCTGTGTTTGTGAGCAGCAAAATGATCTATAGCAGATGTGCAAAAAACGAAACTTGATGAGATGGAGACGAAAGTGTGACACATACCCATTAGAAGCAGCGCGCAGGTAAAACAATGTTCATGATATCCATGTGTAGCATGTCCCTGTAGCGTTGTGAAAAGGTGAGTAAGGGAAGGGGAGACGGTAAAGAATAGCGTAGCTTTGTATTGACTGGCGTCGACAGAACCATATGTACCAGGCCTATGTCATCATCATCAGCCTGACTACGTCCACTGCAGGACAAAAACCTCTCCCATGTTCCGCCAGTTAACCCAGTCCTGTGCTTGCTGCTGCCAATTTATACCCGCAAACTTCCTAATCTCATCTGCCCACCTAACCTTCTGTCTCCCCCTAACCCGCTTGCCTTCTCTGGGAATGCGGTCAGTTACCCTTAATGACCAGCGGTTATCCTGTCTACGCGCAACATGCCCGGCCCATGTCCATGTCTTCTTGATTTCAGCTATGATGTCCTTAACCACCGTTTGTTTCCTAATCCATTCTGCTCTCTTCTTGTCTGTTAAGGTTTACTTATCATTTTTCTTTCTATTGCTCGCTGTGTAGTCCTCAATTTAAGCTGAATCCTCTTTGTAAGTCTCCAGGCTTCTGCTCCGTAGCTATGTAACGGCAAGATACAGCTGGTATATAACTTCTTCTTGAGGGATAGTGGCAATCTACCTGTCATAATGTGGGAGTGCTTACCAACTGTGCTCCACCCCATTCTTATTCTTCTAGTTACTTCAATCTCGTGATTCGGCTCCACGGTTATCACCTGCCCTAAGTAGACATAGTCTTTTACAACATGGTGTGGGGACCCGGTACCACAGCTATCTATAATAAGTTAAAACATGAAGGCGAGAATGAGAAGCCAAGTTGCGAGTAGTGCTGGGAATGTGTGGAAATTGTAAAGGGGAAAGGGAGAAGGTAAGCGAATGCATTACCAGAAAGTGTAGAATAGCCAGTTGTAGTAAGGCAGAACAAACCGAAGGGTCATGAGGTTGATGAGGAAAAAAGAACGGTGAACAAGTGGGTAGAATACAACATCGCCGCGTGTGGTACAGTATAGCAAAATTGTCGGAAAGGTAATTGAAGGTGAAAAGCAATATAAAGTATATAATAGTATTGATTGATATGTGGGGTTTAACGGCGCCAAACCACTAAATGATTATGAGAGACGCCGTAGTAGAGGGCTCCCGAAATTGAGACCACCTGGGGTTCTTTAGCGCGCACCAAAATCTGAGCACACGGGCCTACAACATTTCCGCCTCCATCTGAAATGCAGCCGCCGCCACTGGGATTCGATCCCGCGAACTGCGGGTTAGCAGCCGAGTACATTAGCCAATAGACCACCGCGGTGGGGCAAGTACATAATAGTAGTCCACAGTACCGTATAGAAGAGTGGGAATAGGAAAGGCAAATTCAGGAGGGTTCATGTGAGGGTAATGGGAAAAAAATGATACAGGGAGTGTCAAGAATAGCATAACCATCTGTACCACAGATAACAACGGGTGGGAAATAGAAGAGAGTGGGAAGAGGAAAATCTAAGCACAGCTTCACCGAATGAAGCATAGGGTAGCTAGAGGGTGGGAAAGGGAAGCGAGGATGAGGGAGATAGAAAGGAGAGTTGGTAAGGCATACCACAGGCATCACAGTGTAAGATAGGAAGGTATGAAAAAGGAAATAATGTACTGAAAAGGAGAACAAGAAGGAGAAGGAAAGAAGGCCAATGGCAGCCCTATGAAGGTTTGTTTGGCCACTATTGACGCTTTGGAGGCTGCACATTTCCAACGCCCGCACTCGCATACTAGTGAATGCCAGCGTTGCTAAGGTGCAGGTGAACCGCTGATGCGCGTTTTTTATTTGAAAATACCACACGCCATTCCCGGCCCATGCAGAAGAGCCTGGATCAATACATAAAGATACATTTAGTGTCAGAAACTTCTGATGCTACTTCGCCACGTTGCATGAGATTCATCAACCTGTTCATGGTACTACAGTCTAAAGTTTTAACTGTATGTGCATCTACACGCTGTTTGTTCTCCTCGCCTTACACTCACTGCAAAAGGGGCCTTACAAGGGGGAATACTTTTTCCCAAATTCTGGCACTGACGAGGTGCCATTCTCTTTAAATTCTGGCAAGGCATAGATATTTGTACACACTATACACTAAATGACTTATGCCATGACTTGTGCAATAAATAAAGTAAAACAAAAATAACGGGACGAGCGAGATTTAACCACGACCTGGCAGAGGGAGCGTGTATTCTCAAGCTCCTTAATAAAATGGGAAGTTTGCATTCGATCTTGTGAAAAACGTGTAAAAGTGTGATGCTATGCACATATGTGTAGTTGTTAGCGACTAACAAATTTTAATTATTCACGAAGACGTTCACCATGACCTTGTAAACTGCGTGAAGTATTTCTATGGTATAACCAGGGACAAAAGTTCTCGCCAGATTTTTTAATCAACCGTTGTTGTCAACATCAATTACCGAATATTTTATTAGTATACAAGTACTAAACATCTATCCAATGTTCTTCTCACTATTTTCTTTCGTACTGGCGCCCATATCTATATCCTCATATTCTAAAGATTGCTTCAACTAAGGAGGGGAAAATAGTACAGTAAGCATGAGCATATGCCTACAATATACCTGTAAGTGCTCTTACATGCTTTTCAGCCTTTATTATTATACGTACTTACATATCAGACTGGTTTGTGTATTTAGCAATTGTTGTGAGGTTGAAAACTCCATCGGAGATAGTTCTAGCTGTAGAACGCACACAACTGATGTTTCGTGCCCATATGCTTTCGCTATTGTAAGTCACCTTTGCCAGATAAAATGTGGCATTGACGCCTAGCTGAATACTCTGAAAGAAAGTTTGTTAATACGATATTTTGAAAAGATGAAGTTGTCAGAGATAAGCATTCCACTTCCACATCTTTTTCAATTCCTTTTTCTATAAAAAGTAACGTGTATACACTGCCCACACCTGTTTTTTTGTTTCCTAGCTATCATTGTATTTTAGTTGTTCCTATGATATTTTGGTAGGTGATTTATGTATATTCGAACATTTTTTCTGTCTAATAGCTTCATTCCTTCAAAAAGCGTAGTGATTCATTTTACCATACTATCATGTATTCATGCGTTCGTTTAGTATCGAAGTTTTTTTTTTAGTCTTTCTTTGCCTTTATGTCTATTGCTCAGGGAGCTCTGTACAAAAATTTTCTAGAATGAGTATGAAAGGCAACGGATTAAATGAACAGAAGTAAAACACCAACTGCATTTTTAGGAGACCTGCATGCCGCATTGGCGAAGAGTTAACCAGTTGGGAACATTTGTTCCGCATAACGACATCTTGAAAAGCTTAAGCGTGGCATTTACCTTCTTGACGTCTTGATATCTGTGGAACTTTTGTTCGTCCGCCCAAGCAGGTTTCAGGTACAATTTACTATCTCTGCAAACAGCCAGTCCAAATATCGAGAAGAGCAGATAAACATTCATGTTGAATGTGTAACAATATTCTATGATATGGTCGCAGATTGGGTATAAGGTAAAAATTCGCACATGTCTCCTCTCTTACGGTTTAACAATTGGACAATGAACCGTGACGCCCACGCAGAAAAGAAGATATAAATATCTTGGTATTGTGGAACTAGCCAAATGGTGGACTACAACAATAGTGAGACTTGCGTAGGCTATTTTCTATTCTCGGCCATCTTATAGTATAGTCTCGCAGTATTTTGTGCATTACAAAAAAGATTCTTTGCTATTTATTTTTCTAATTATGAAAGCGATCTGCTATCTTATAAACGAGTGAAAAATAAACACAATACAATACTTTGAGACACTTCTAATTATGTGTATTAAACGTTGTGTGTCGATACAAAATTTTAGATTGGGTAATAAATATTTGAATTACGTTTGCGCTAGCTGCTTGGGTGACTACAATTTACGCTGCAGGCACTAATTACGATATAAACCACCTTTGAGCTTTTGTGAAACGTAAGCATTTTTTTGTGTAATTACGTGCAAATCATACACCCCAAATCTAACTTTAACAACCCAAATAAATTGGTGAACGTAATTGCAAAAACTTTTTGGGGTGTCCTAACTATGATGATACACACAATAAACCATATTATTCGCCCAAACATCTGTGGAGGCATGTCACCAGCAAAGAATGTGCCCACAAACGTTAATGTAAATCTCAGGCCCTGCATGGTGTTTACAAGGCAGCCCACTTGATTTTGCTGCCTCTGCCTACAGAGACAATCGCAAGCTAGAAAGCCTGCAAATGTAGTCTGTAAGGGCGAAAATTCGCAACCACTCAAAGAGATTTAGCCGTGCGTCTGCCGTAAAAAGAAAAAAAAAAACAAGATCCTGGCTCTTGAGTGAAACCTTTCCTCAGTTTCATATGAGAGAATTGAAGATGATCTCATGAGCTTCCTTCTTTGTAAAGGCCCTTTCATGACATCGCTGAAGGAGCTAATAGTGAAAGCAACCTGTGGCATACGCTATAAAGCTGACTGGATTTTTCAGTGCCTAATGCTGAGCACTGTAATCTCTTTAATCGTTTTAGTATTTCTCCCAACCTGACACGAAAAAACGAACACCTGGGAGTAATATTGTTTCGCATCAATATTCGATATCTGACCTACTTGTTTTCTTTTCTTGAAAGCCGTTGGCTCTGTTCTAAACACACGCCCTTCACCAATAGGAAGGAGACAGGAAGTAGTGAGTGCGTGGCAATAGCCCTTCGAATGTATGGGAGAGAGATGGCCAATATTTTTGCCATCTTTCCCGCGAGAGACGGCTGATAACTGCACTCTCTAGTTACACTCTCGAAACAAATCTCTCTCTCGAAAAATCACTAATAAGTACGCATTCCAAGTAAATGGCGACTTCGAGGAAAACTGGGTTTTCTAAACAGTCTTTCCTTAGTAGCGTGGTGGGTATTTAGTTGGGCCATTTTTACAAGCCGACGAACACTAGAAAGAGCATAAAAGATGCCCCGCAGATGAGCAAAAGAAACTGCGCTGAAGACTAGCGACGAGAATAGAATTACCCACGATTATCAAAGACTTACTACTCGTCCTGTGTACTTCTACTCTGATGTCTAATCTTTAGTGCAGTTTATTTTTCTAATCATGCATAACCAATTAGCGTCTGAAACATGCGTCTCGGGCAAAGTCGATTGTGCCCAAAATCAGCCTTTAGGCGACAGCCGCTGCATAAATAAGTAAAAATAAATACAACTAGGTTCCCCCATTGAGAAAGGCTCCTGAATTTTAGTGCTGAATATGGAGCAAACATTTTACGAATATTGGTTTTTGAAACAGGGTGCGAGTTTGTACGTGTTTTGCCTTGACTACTGAGAGTTATGAATTATATTGATGTAATATTAGGTCATTGTTATATACTGTGGATTATGGTTGATTTATTGTCGGTGATTTTAAGTGTGGCGACCTCCTTGTTATGGTAACATGATGATGTTTGGTATTTTTTGGCGCAAGGGCCATGCAATGAGCAAAGAGCGCCAAGTCATAAGACTAGAGATGTTGACAATGGTTTTGATGAGTTGCTGCATAAGGGTCTTAAGTTCGTCGCTCTAATGCGGGTGAAAACATACAAGTATCAAAATTAGGACCATGATGTCGAATGTGTGTAGTGGAAATGGATGGCGAAAGTTCGTAGTAATAAAACAATGGTGGATATATGGTCAGCGAGAAGGTGAGCGTGGCTGGTACCTCTTTGCACGAGGGAATGCCTGCTGCCCTGACACGTTGCTCCGGAGTGACGTAGAAAAAAGTACGGGCCCAAGACACTGCGCAAAACCCTAAACATGTTAAAGAAATTGCATCAGACATCACAGAAATAAAGTAATCTTTTCTTCCTGAAATCGAAAGGAAACTGGATTCGATATCTGCCCCCGAACAAAGGGTCGCGTAATTTCAAGAGCAAATCAACTACACGCAAAACACTATAAAATACTTTATTCTAAAATAAACGATATGAAAAATAATAGAAGACACTCCAACTTAATCGTTTATGGACTTCCAAAAAAATAAGATGAAACTGGCACTACACTTGAAACTGACAGAAGAACCAACCTAGCTTGACTGCCGTACTCATTTTGGGAGTTGTAGGCCATAGTTTGTGTGTTTGCAGCCCAATTTCATTCTTTTACGGTGTTTTTACAGCTCTACTAGTCGATCAGTGAGTGCTTTTTGCGCTTGTAAGTTCAGGCATGCCGTTTTCCTCACCCGGACTAGGGGCTTTCCTCTGGTCATTTCTTTTTTACCGAAGGAGACCACTGGGGACCTGTTCTTGCGTAATGGTATTTCTGCAGTTGCTGTGGCCCTGGTCCCCTGGTCCCAACAAATGAGAGTACCATACAGATGAAAAATCCGTAAGTGATTCAAGCTGAGCTGCGAGCAGCCACTGCTCATTTCTAGAGTATCTCAGAGGTCCGACAGTTCGGCAAGGGTGGTATCCTCTGTGTGTAGTCAGACCAGCTTTGTGTCCAAGACCAACTGAAGCTTTCTATGTTTGCTTCCAACCCGGTGAGCACATTCCACCCTCATCAATTAGCATGCGTGAAAGAGTTTGTGTGAGGCGTACACATTAGTTTACTTCCATTGGAGGTATTAGAGATGTTTGCAACGGCTGGTGCAATCTGCCGTTCATACGTGTAGCCATGTGGTTGATAAAACCAAAGTCCCTACGGAGCCGTTGATTGTGACGTTCGCTGGATCGAGCCGACCAATGGAAATCAAGGCGTGGCCTCTTATCTATCGAGTCGAACCGCTCTCGCCTCGACCACTGCAGTGCGTAAAATCCTGACGTTATGGCCACATGGTAAAAGGCTGTAGGTCCGCTCTTAGATGCAAGATGTGCGGGGAGCCTCACAACGCAAATGAGTGTCAGAGAAAAGAAAAAATGTTGTCTTTGCAATGCAGTGCACGAGTGCGGATAATTTGAATCGCCCTGCCAAGGCTCAAGAAATACAAACTCTCGAAATCATAGATTGCAGACGCTGCTCCCGAAGAGACGTCTTAGCTGAAATTCAGGCTAGAAGTCAGGATTATGCAGGGGTAGCAGCCCTTCATACCACGTTGTCGGATGCATCTTTGCCTCAATTCATAGCAATAGTGGTCAAATGAACAATAGATAAGAATATGGAGCGCCTTGCTGCAAACATTTATGAGACTCTATCTCAAATTTCGACCAACCAAATGGCTCACATATTTGAAACACCGGCGAATAAATTATGCTCTCAGACTGCAGAGCTTCCATGACCTAATAATGAGGCCTTCAGAGCTTCCACGACCGAACAACCACGCCGTCTGACGTTGTCTACGCAGGACCCTCTCTAGGTGACAACCAGATCCAAAAGGAATAATGTAAATAACGAAACTGAGGAGCGTGATGACATGGAGTTGAACCCTAGGTCAATAAAACGCACTAGGTCTCCTCTATGGAAAAAATCCTCACCAAAGCATGCAAAAAATACCCTGAAGGACAAGACAAGCCTCTCAAAGATAGATTAAAAAAAACCATTCTGGATAAAGCAGTCACGGAGGCAATTTTTTCAGAAAAATAGGGTTAATTAAGATTCCCCATTGGAATTGCAGATAAGTTCACTCTTCAATAACCGATCTAGTATAATTGTCTTCAAAATACACCCCAGATATATTGCATTGCAGGAGAAATGGCTCTCCGTAGATAAACCGTTTCTTTTATTCAGCTATCATTTGTTTAGGCCAGACCGCACGTCCAGATGTGGAGGACTACCATTTGTCATCTCTAACATGGTTAGTTTAGAGGTGAAAATCACGTACAAGTATTGTAACCAGAATGTGAAATTTTTGCAATAGACATCACATTTCCCGGTTGCCAATCTTTCTCCATAAATATTGTGTATTTTCCGGATGGTGTACAAGACACTAGACAGTTGGATATGGCAATCGGATCATGGTGTAAAAAGAAAATTGTAGTCGGCAGTTTTAACTCTCATCACACGCGTTGTGGTTTTGAAACTGATCAGGGTGGTAAACGTCGCTGGGAGTGTGCAACTGTTATATTCTATTGTGCTTAAACGCCCGAACCCCTACATTTATTTGTGATCGATGTGGATCAGCCTTAGATTTAGGTTTCTTAAGTTCGAGTATTTCAAGCTCACCCTGGGCAGCGCTGGACTGCGCCACAAGTAGTGATAATTTTCCTATAATTTTTGAAATTTCTTGCCCAAGAACCCTTCCTTGCCCTCAAGTCAGTCTTTGTGAGCTACAAATGTTTAGAGATAACCTAACATCACCTTTATCGTTTCCTCCGACGAGAGTAATGATTGGAAGGTGATAAAGTTGAACGCAATTAATAAAAGAGCCTTTAAATGAGCTGAATTTACTGTTGAGTCGGCTCAAAGGGCACCCTCTACTCCTTGGTGGAATGAAGATTGCACACGAGATCACCGCCGTCGCCAGGCAGTTTGGATGCAGCTTATTCACAATCAATCCTCTAAAGGCTGGTTTGATTATAAGTTGATAGCAGCTAATTTCAAACGCACAGATGCTAAAAAAAGAGGATTATG